TCACAATGAACAGGCGGCATGTTGTGCTTCTGGCTGTCTCTCAAACTCTGCATTTCTTTGTTCTTAGCCAAAAGAAGCCCAAAACAAACTATCTGATGGGGTGCCCCCCCTTTTTTTTTTTACTGGGTGAAAACACAAAGTATTTTTAAAGGAACTACTCTTATTTCTGTTTATTTTCCCTATCACCCTTCCCTTGACTTCAGACATGACACTAAGGCCAGAAAAGTTTCAGCCTGCTTCACCAAGAGTCCCAAAGGGAAAAAAAAAGCACTGCCTCCAGCCCTCTCAAATTCATTGCCCTCAACATGTGCTCATTTTCACCATTTGCAAAGGAAGTGCCACCATTTCTCTCGAGCCCATGCCTTACCTGGTAACACTATTCAACTAAGCAACAGACATTCCAAAGGCAGAGGTGAAGGACGCAGAGGAACTCACAAAACCAGGGGAGAGAAACTATTGGCACTGTGGTCCAAAGCAAGATGTGCAATGCGTAGCTACCCTGCAGCTAATTGTGCAAATATTGGTCAAGAGGAGCCTTCCTGCACACAAAGGAGGAGACTCAGCTCTTGAGCAAACCCTGCAACATTGAAACCACAACTACAAAACCAGAGAAGCATCCTAAGAATGACCCCTGTCTTTGTGTTTACCTTTACTCCTGCCCTAACTCACTTCCTGAGCCCTGCCTTGCTGATTGGTTCCCACAGACGAACCCTACAAAGAAAATGGGAATTAGGGAAGCCTACAGTAAATGCAGCAGCTACACCCAACAGCCACTGGCTCACCCATGAGCCCAAAGGCAGCCCAGGCATTTCAGTGCTTTTTGGCAATTAGAGCTTGAAGCTGCTGCTGTGCAAGAGCCAAGGAGAGCACAACTGCTCAGGGCAAGGCACATGGGGAGCAGGTCTGGCTGTGGGAACCCACCGGGATGAGTATTTGTTGTCGCGGTCCGATAGCGAAGAGGGGACATGACACGAGGACTGGTGCAAGCAGACTTCTTTATTCAGGCGTTTGATTCTTAAAACCTCCCGCCAGGGAAAAAGGGGCAGAACAAAGGGTGGGCTATCAGACAGACAAACAGGGCAGCAAATCAGAACAGGGCACAGGCAAAAGGGGGAGGAGGAAGCCTGGGCATGTGCAGTTGTGCACTGTATAGCATGGATACAATGAAACCACATAGTAACAGTAAAGTCCATATGAAAGTCCTGTCGATTGCTGTATGCTTTTCTCCATGCCTGGAACTGTTCCCATCCTGAATCTTGCTTCTCTACAAGTATTAGCCTCAGGCAGATATTGCCCAAACCATTAAACAGAAGTTTATGTTCCAAAGATAACACGAGAAGTCACTTACCAGCTGACTAATGTGTGTCTGTCCTAGTTAGAACAGCTGGGACCACTTCATCACCGTATGGGTGTAACCCAAAACTGTGTATTCTATAGCCTTCCACGAGGTTTTCCCAGAAACTGTTATCAACAGACCATTTAAACCACCTGCCCAGAGCACGCCTGACCCCTCAGGCTACAAGCTGGGTGTTAAGAGGCCTGTAAGATAGGAGGATGCTCCTGTCCTCACAGCCATTGTGGAACTCCCTGCCCTGAGGGAGGTACTGGGCATTCCTGCCTGAACCTGAGGATATATATAATCTTGGAGTCTTGGGACTTTTTTACCACTTGTGGGATCCAGAGAAGAACTGTGACCACCACTCTCAACTGGACTGCAACAGCACTCTCACCAACAGGTTTTCCCTCTCCTTTTACTTTGGACTCAGGGGGCCCAACAAACACCACTCTGTTCATGCCCCAGGGTGCTGGGTTATACGTTTGGGTTTTGTGGGTTAAAACCAATTGTTTGTCTGTATAATTGTATTTACTGTATTATTTAATTGTTATTCTGACTTATAATCTCTCTTTTGAGTTGGGTTCATTTCCCCTGCCGGTTTACCTTTAAACCAGCACAGTGTCAGGATCCAACCCCTCCCTGGATGAACTACCCAAGCCCTAGGTCCCAGCAGTGGCCCAAAAGACTCACATTGTTTTCCTTCACTGAGATCACTGGGGGTGGGAAACAGCCCTATCAAGTCCTTTCCATGGGACAGCAGTGTCACAGCAGCAGGCGGGGGATGGAGAGGAGCAGCAAAGCAGAAATCCCAAAGGCATCTGCCCAAGGAGTTTTCCGTCTCATGCAGAAACCACCAAGGCAGTCGCAATTGCAGGGGGTTGGAAGGAACTGATCTTTCAGGTCCCTTCCAAACCAAAGCATTCTGGGACTCTATTAACACTTAATCCTAAAAAAAAATAAAAGAAAAAAGTCAGCTTATGCCTGAGCTAGAAGTTTGAAAGAGGATTGTACTTGAAATACAGCAATAGCTGAACAACACAGCACACATGTCCTCGGCCCACAAACACTACCAAAGGTGGGTGATACATGCTGGTAAATTATTTCATGATGATCTCACTATGGCACAAACAGAAAAAAGCACCACAGAACAATGAGGCTGCTCAGTGGTTTCAGTGGTCACCAACCACGTTGACAAAATCAGTGTTCTAAAAATATTTTTAGCTCCTTGTACCAAAGCACAAAAAAAAAAAAGAAAAGAAAAGAAAAAGTTCCTTATTTACGGTAGTCGTTAATTTTTTTTTCTCAAGAGGCCAGAAAAATACACTGCTAAATGTTTTAAGATGTACAGGCCAGTGAAACTGAGGGGGAAAGGGACAAGAATAAAAAAGCAGGGGGAACCAGCCAGGAGATGGGAGAAAGTTTTACAGCAAAGCATGGAATTCTCAGGGCAGAGATCTGTAGCATACGCTACAACAAGTGTGAGAAGACAGAAACATAAAAACAAAAGCCTAAACCCCAAAATTGCATAGGTACTGCTTGAACTGCCCTTCTCAGAGACTTTTGGGGAGCACATTAGCTCTCCCCTCAAAGCCTTTTGGAAACAGAACTAAAACATCCCGCATAAAGAACCATTTTACCTTGTAACAACATCCATAGTTACACATTGCACATACAGGACCAGGTCTCTTATAATAATATCCACAACAAAACATGCCACCAGGTCCCTTGTAACAGCGAAACACTTTCCCTTGTCACGTGTCCCCTCCCCCCTTTTCCATGCCTGTGTTCCCTGTCCTGTACCCATCGACGCCAGGAGCCCGCAGCGTTGGAAAACACAAATTCCCGGGCTGCAGCTCCCAAGGGATGACGGAGCTATTCAAGCGCACGCCTGCGGGCAGGGGAGTACTTACCCCCCCCGCGGCAGCGCGGCCCCTGAGCCGCGGATGCCCAGCTCCCCCGGCCGCGCTCCGCCACAAGGAACGGACGGGCAGGATCCGGCAGCGCCGGGACGCCGGGCACGTGCACCCGGGCACCGGCAGCAGCAGGTGCCGGTTCTCCCCGGCAGGCCACGGGGCGGGGGGTGAGGGATTCCCTCCACCTGGCGCAGCCAAGAAATCCGCCTGCCGCTCTCCTTCTCCCAGCCTCGGAGAGGTGGCGGTTCTCTGGGAGCACACGTGGAAGCGATGCCGCCTGCCCTCCGACTGTGGGACAGCACACCTGCCGTGACTCCCCTCTCTCCAAAGAGCTTCCACCGAGCAGTCACTGGAAAGACCCAAATTCCAGGATTTGAGGCTTTTTGAATGTTGCTGTGATGCACCTCGTTCAACCAGACACATCCCTGGGAACGATTCAGCCCCAAAATCTCCCTCCCTTTTTGGGTTGAAAACCGGTCCAGCAGCAGCAGCAGCAAGAGGCTGCCCTTGCCCGTGCGAGCCACCTCGCTCTGTCCTGAGCTCACACCTCCAGAGAGGTGTCTGTGTCACATCTGTCTCTCTGCAGGGGCTTCAACAACCAACAGCCCAGAAAACAGAGCTGCCCGCGGGAGAGGCTGGCTGGGGCAGCTGATCCCTGGCTCGGCGGCGATTCTCGTGCCGACCCTAGACGTGACTGCCGCTGCGCCCACCCCGGTGCACCTCCCTACTTTACTGCCAGCCGCTGCTGACGGAGCGCAGCCCTGCACGAGGGCTTTGTCCGCAAGCTCTGTGCTACCTCCCTCCCACCTGGGGACAGGAGAAACCGCAGGGCGGGTCATTTCCCGAGGAGGGAGTTACCGACGAGCCCCCGCACGAAACGGGCATTGAGCGCTCCACAGTGAGCCCTGCCACCCCCGGGAGCCGAGCCGAGCCCCAACCAGCCACCGCAGCCCCCCGGACACCCGCACACCTCCGGCTACTGCCGGTCCCGCGGCGTCCTCTGCGACCCCCGGGACCGCCACTTTGCCACAGAGCGGCGCGTGCTCAGAGCGGGCGCGGAGGGCGGGCGCGCGATAAGGGGCGCTGGGAGAGGGGCCGGCGCCAGCTGGGAGCTCTTGGCTCTGGGCTGTTTTGGGTGCGGGTTTTGGGGCACTGCGCACACCCTCTCCTGGTCACAGCCCCACCCCAGTTCGCTGCACCCAGCTGCACTCTCCGCACCTCTTGGTCAGCTCCGTGGGGATTTGTGCCTCCTCTGAAGGTGGCAAATGTCTCCAAAACGAGTCGGGAAGCCACTCCCCGTCTTTCTTTTCCAGCCTTTTCTGCCCAGCACCGCAGTGGTCGAAAAGGAAACCAAAAACGCGGGAAAAAACCACCCCAAAATCGCACGGTGCCAACCCCCAGCTCCCCCCACTAAGCCCCGAGAACTGCAGCCCCCGGGCCTCGCCGCGGCTTCCCCGCCGTCACCCGGCACCTCCCGCCCGTCCCGTCCCGTCCCGTCCCGCCCCGCAGCGCCGCTCCCGCTGCCGCCCTCGAACACAAGGAATAACCCACCCTGCCCCCAGCACAGGCCGGTCCCTCCCCAGCAGCCTCGGCAGTGCCGGGAGCGGCCGCAGCCCCCAGCGACGGGAGGGGCCGCGCGGGGCGGGGGCGGGCCCTGCGGCTGCGACCCCGCGGGGAAGGGACCCCCCGGGCCGGACCCCTCCGGCACCGCCCCTCGCCCACAGTTTTAACATTATACAGCCAAGATTTAATCCAGAGCACCAGAAGCTCCCAAGTGCGGGGGATTTCCATAGACTTGTTACTTTTCTCTTTTTAATGACTGCGTTGTCAAAGTTAGGGAAATACAATCAGCATTCCCTAAACACCATCACTTCCATATCTACCTGCGATCAGGGGCCGATGAGCAACAGTCTGCCCTGGACGGGCTGCAGGGATGGTGTGAAGGCCACTGTTCCCCAGGTTTGAAGGACTCTGGCCATGATCCTCGGCCTGTGGACAGAAAGCCCAGAGCCAACAGGAACTCCAGCCAGCTGCAGGTAGATGTTACTCCTTCCCAGTTTGCCGGGGGTGGGGGCAAAGGTGCTCTTCCCTGTCCAGCAGCGGCAGTCATCCCCTGGGCAGAGCCCGCCCTGATCCTCAGCCTAGTGGGAGGACATCCCCTTGTCACAGCCCACTTCCTGCAGAGAAAAAAGGGAAATATCGCACATCAGGAAGACATTCTTCCCTAGGAAGGTGGGGAGGCCCTGGCACAGGTTGCACAGAGAAGCTGTGGCTGCCCCATCCCTGGAAGTGTCCAAGGCCAGGCTGGACAGTCTAGTGGAAGGTGTCCCTGCCCATGGCAGGGGGTGGAAGGAGATGATCCCCAAGGTCCCTTCCAACCCAAACCACTCCAGGATGCCAGGATGATTCCACACTCTCTCCCTGCATTTATTTTGTGTCATTTCCCCTCAAAAACAAAATCTCCAAATTAGTTGATTGTTTTGGCCATAATTTTAAAATCATTCCAGGAATAAAAAGGACTGTAAAACATACAGAAATCATTCCCATCAAATCATTATTAATTGGAACCCTACTCCCTCATCACTGTCCTTGTTTTCCTTGGCTGGAAAACCTGATGATCCCCACTGGCTATTTTTAGGGTGGTTTTCTTTCTCCCAGCTGAAACCTCCTGGGATATTCAGGGCTTATTTGGAGGTAAGCCCCTCTGAGGTATTTCCTCTCGTGCCAATTCTGTGGAATGAGGTAAATAAAGCAAGTGAAGACTTCATTCTACCCCCCTGCTTTGCAAACACCCTCCCAGTTTGTCCTTGGCAGCTCCATCCCCGCAACACTCACACCTGACGCTTCGGCTCCGCTGGGAAAGGGACAGCAAGTGCAGGAGCAAGTTCAGTGCTGTGCAGGGGCTCCCTGGGGAACAGCACTTCAGTGGTTTAGTCCATGGCCTTTCCTGGTGCTCTCCCTCCTGGACGCAGAGGATGACCCAGACATTGCTCTCTCCCTTGTTTCTCCCACACTTGTATACCCAGGTCCTGCTCTTTTGGGCCCCTCCTCAGGGGCTGCATTTTGACAGCAGGATTCTCTCACTTTTCAGCAGATCAGGGATCATTTCCCAGGGTCCCCAGGAAATTTCTGCAGCTGACACATAACTAAGTGCAGAGCACAGGACAAGGGAAGTACAAATTTCTCAGCACCTACCACCTGGAATTTTCCTTCTCCGCAGCACGCTCCTGTTCCCACTGTCTCTGGAGGTGCTCGCACGAGTCCTCCTTGTCCCAGCCCTGCCAAACTGACACACGCACAGGAGAAATCAACAGGTCTTACCTGCACAATTGCCGACCTTAACCCTTACCTGTCCTGCCCAGAGCTGAGGGAAATCTGACAGAATATTAATAAACTTTTGTTAAGAGCAGTCATCAGCCCTGACCTTCAGGCTTTGCAGGAGTTTGTAGGGAATACACCCAAATTCAAATCCTACCTCTAACTTTCCAACAGGTTTTGTTGGAGAGATTCTGGACAGCAACTCCTACGACGGAAAGAAAAAACTGCATAAGGAGTAACAGAAGGTTTGCCATGAAGAACAGAAGTTCCTGTTCTCCCTCATCAGGCTGGGACTGTAAGGCCCAGTCTTTGCCATCAAGAGACAATAGTGTTGTCATTAAGACTTAAACCTCACCCACATGGTTATGTCTCAGAACTGGGCCAGCACTGAGCTACTCCCATGTGCCTGCAGTGCTTTGGGGAAGGGCAAGACAACCTCCCACTTCTGCTTGGAAACATTCAAGAGAATTTTGGCCCAGGACAAACTCAATCACCCCCATCGCTGCTCCATCCCACATCTGCGGGAATATTCATACAGTTTAGAAATACTCCCTTTCCCTGCTTCTCAGTCCATCGTTACACATCCATGGAACACGTTTACTACACCCTTTGTTCTCAACAACAGGTCTCCAGCCCGAATCCCAGCTCCCACAGACACAAACTAAACACACCTAAGGCAATGGTTCCATCAGCACCTGGAATTTCGAGCTCCTCCTTCCCTGCATTGCTCATCCCAACACTCACAGCAACCTTACCTCAGCCCACAGGCTCTCTGTCCTCAGAGGGAAACACAACCCAGTGGGACACAGCTCTGGCACCGCATTTCCTCTCATTCCTGGTGTCCTGCAAACCCACAGGGAAATCCAATCCCTCAGACTCTGCATCCCTGGACACGAGGGGAACTGGAGTTTGACCCGGATGCCAGCGCCCTGGACAAGTGTGTTCCCATGAGCACAAGCCCGTGGCTCCATCCAGCCCATCCATCCCTCCTTTCCCTCCAAGGAGTCCCAAACCCTCCCACAGCTCCCCTGCACCTGTCCCACAGCCCAGCCCAGCTCCAGGCTCTCCCCCAGTGCTGCGTCAGCTCCATCCCTGGCAGAGCTGCAAACACTCCCTGAGCTCAGCCCCCCGGGCTCCTGAACCCCCAAGCCAAGGCTCAGGCTCACCAACGGGGACCCACCTGCCCCTCTCAGCACAGCCCAACCCCACAGCTCTGTGACCGCACGTTCACCTGGCCCTTTGCCCCTTCTCTTCCTCGTGACCCTTCCCAGCACACATGGCAAAGACCAGCCTGGAGTGGGAAACAGAGCCATTTTCCAGAGAGCTAATGCCAACCGCCAGAAGAAGAGAAATGTGTCCGTCTGACTTACCCCACCCCACAGGCAGGACCAGGTGCCCCCAGTGCTGGTCAGCAGGGCTGGAGCCTGTTGCCTTTGGCTGCTCACACCCCAACGCATTTGGCATCACTGGACCCAAGTCAATGATTTTCCCTGTCCTGAAAGAGAGGAGCACAAGAAAATTACGTGCACTGCCGAAGTCAAAGACTCTTGGCTTCCACCGTTCTGTTCTGATTACTCACTAGAAGGGTTTCTTCCCTAAAACCTGCTCTTACCTATGAAAAGCTGAGCAATTCACAGAGTTGCTGTTTGTATCCCAGCTTCCCAAAGGATTTCTCTTTCCCGGCAGCAGCACTTCATGCTCCACAGGAAGCCCTAAGTGAGGCTGGGAATTGACACAGAACAAGCCAAAAGCATTAGCTCAGCACCAGAACACTAAACAATAAAGCAATTTAGAGTCACCTTTGCCTCATCCCCCCACGCAGGCAGAGCCTTTGGAATTCCAGGGCAAACCCAGAGATCACCAGAGAGCAGCAGCCCCTCAGTCCCACCACGGCCTCCCCTGGGGTCCCCCAGCTGGGAACCGGGCTACCCAGCCCCTGCTGTGCTGTGCAGCACAGCGTGGGGGGATGACTTTTGGGATCCCTCCCCGGTCGCTGCAGAGCAATGCAGGCATTGGGGCAAAGTCCTGCCCAGACCCCAGGCACTGGAGACAGTTCAGCCCCAGTAGCAGTGGGATTTTCTGTCTCTTGCTCCCCTCTCATTGGGAACTGAACGGTGAGGAACAAGCCCTGAGCAGACAGTGTGGCACCAGCACTAGGCACAATCAACACCAAGTAGCTTGGCTGGGCAGAGGCTGGCAGAGGCTTGGCAGAGGCCTGGGCCTTCGCAGTCCAGGCTCTGGGCTTCCTCTGCTTTCTTCCACTGCAATTATCCTGTCCTGGGAAGTGTTAAAACACAGACTGCCCAGCGAGACGTGTCTTGAAAGAGAAATCAATTCCAACTACAGAAAATCTCAGTGCCACGCTTTGAAACTCTTCAGCAAGGCTCCTGGCAAAGCCAAGATGAGGTGTGATTACCTAGAGTCCCAGGGAACTGAGGGGAAGCTCGGGAACGAGCAAAGAGCAAACAGCTTCGGCTGCTTCTCACTCCAGGCCCTACAGCAAGTGTAGTTTCCCTGGGATTTCATATCCCTTGTGTCTCTTCCGAGCCCAACGGGTGAACAAACGGGTACTCCAAGATACACTTCCTCTGTACCTGAGTCAGCACAGATCCCCCCGAGGAACTGGAATCCCAGGGTACATCTGAATGCGGCACCACGGGACGGAGCGGGACGGGAAAGTGACGGGGTGGGAGACTACGGGACAGGGGCGCCGAGTGCGGACGCCGAGCCGCCTCAGCGTCGGGCCCGCGCTCTGCCAGGGGTCCTCGCGCCTGAGCCGCGTCCCCGACCGTGGCTGCCCGCGCCGGTGCCTGCCGCCGCCCGAGAATCTGCCGCCCGCACCCGGCGCCGGCGAGCGCCCCGCCCTGTCCCCACGCTGGGAAGCACCGCGCCAAGACGGCGCTACGAGCACGGCGTGGGGTCGGGGACGGGATGGAGCTCAGGCAAGCGAAGGCACGCCTCTCTGAGGCGAGGGGGCCTCGTCCCGCCATTTTTGCTGTGGCCTTGGAAGACTTCCGGTCCGGGCAGCGCCATCTTTAGTGTGGTCTTGGAGAACTTGCCAAAGACCGCCATCTTTAGTATGGCATTGGAGGACTTTCGCTCAGGGGACTGCCCTGACTTCCGGTCCCCGATTTTACCCTCAGAATGTCCCTCACTAATTTCCGCGGTTTTATCTCAAAATGTTCATTTTATTTCCCCCCCGGGAGAGACGAGAGATCATAGGTCCCGGCGTGCCCTGGGAACAGCCCAGGCCCCATCGCGGCCGCTCCTTCCCCGCTCGGTGCCGGCCCGGCCGCCCTCCCCGCGGGCTCCGCTGGGCCGCTGCCTGTTCGCCGTTTTCCGCTGCCCTTCCCCTCGGTGCGCGCACGGCCTAAGGGACTTAAGGGCAGCCGCGGCAGGCACTGCGCTGGTCCCTTCGCTGCAGTGCTGCCCTTGTACCAGCAGGCAGCACTGCAGAGTCATCAAAGTCACTGCGCATGCATCATCTGTACAGGGCCGCCCTTAGTGACCACGTGACCGAGGGCGTCTTGCAAATGACGGCGCATGCGCGAAAGCTATTGCCTTGCCTTTTCTCACAACGTGATTCATTGGATCCTTTTGTTACTGAGCATGCGCTTATCACATGACACTCGGCTTTGGTGGAGCAAGTGCTCATGCGTACAGCTCTTTGCTGCAGTACCGGTTTCAGTCACGAGGTGTCACGCGCGAGTCATCGCGCACGCGCAGTATCTCAAGGTCACCACCAGGCGGCAGCAGCAGCGATTCCCGTCCGTTCCTTTTAATATTCTTTATTTTTGTATTATAAGGCTGCTATGCTGATGACGCCGCCTTTGTCGCTCACACAGAAGCAGCTCTGCAGCGTTTAACATCCTGCTTTACAGACGCTGCTGAGCTCTTTGGGCTGGAAGTCAGCTTAAAGAAGACGGAAGTTCTCTATCAACTTGCACCTCAGGAAGTCCCCCATCATCCCCACATCACCATTGGCCAATCAGAGCTCAAATCAGTCCAACAGTTTAATTACCTAGGCAGCCTCATCTCCTCGGATGGTAAGATTGACGGAGAGATAGACAACAGGTTAGCAAAGGCATAGAGAGCTTTTGGAAAACTCCACAAAAGAGTATGGTGTAATAAACACTTGAAGAAAAGTACCAAGATCAGTGTTTACAGAGCCATAGTGCTGTCTACTCTCTTGTATGGTTCTGAATCATGGGTCATCTACCCCCACCACCTGCGTCTCCTGGAACGCTTCCATCAACGCTGCCTCTGTACAATCCTAAACATCCACTGGTCAGATTATGTGACCAATACATCTGTTCTAGAACAAGCAGCAGTCACAAGTATTGAGACCATGTTGCTGAGAACACAGCTGTGCTGGGCAGGGCACGTCTCCAGGATGAAGGACCAACCACCGCCTCCCTAAGATCCTGCTTTATGGTGAACTTGCCACCGGCTGCCACATGAGAGGAGCCCCGAAGAGATGATACAAGGACTCCCTGAAACAACATCAATATGGCCTCAGCCATATTGATCACCATAACTGGTCTACTCTGGCCTCCACTCGGGAGGTTTGGAGACACACCATCTATAATGCTGCCGTTTCCTTTGAGAACACACACAGGATCACCCTTGAGGAGAAAAGACAACACAGAAAGAATCATGCCCTGCAGAATATACCACCTAAGGAGTCTTTCTGCTGTGCCTTTTGCAATCAGACATGTCTATCTCGTATTGGCCTCATTAGCCACCAGCGTGCTTATAACTAACGTGGATAGAGCCTTCCTAAATCTTCGTTCGCGAAGCCTGGCCATGATTTTTTTATTATATATATTTTTCAATTCTGTTATTTTATTTTATTTTTATTTCCTATCTTTTATTTCATTTTTTCTTTTGTTTTACTTTTGTTTTTATTTTTTAATTTATTTTTCTTTTTTTAGTTGTATTTATTTTTATTTTACTTTTATTTTTTAGGGGCTTTTTGGGTTTTTTATCCTTTTCTTTAAAAGCTTTGTGAGGTGATCAGGCCCCCCTATGCTGTGTCATGAGAGGGGCAGAAAGCGAGGGTCCCCTGGACCCCCAAAATGCAGGGTGGGAACATTATTGGGGTCCCCTCTGGAACTCCTCCCTATTTTGAGGATCCCTACCCACTTTTGGGGGGGGCGGGTTCCTCTGTCATTTTTGGGGGTCCCCACTGTCTTAGTTTAACAAGATTACAATTTAGAAATTAAGACACTTCAGGAGGAAGTGTGGAAAAGGAAAATAACAGCTTTTTGTTAACAAAATCTGAATAAACAACAAATGGTGCAATCAAAAACTTTCAGAAGAAACAAAACAAAGTCCCAGTTCCTCAGGCAGAGGGGAGAAACCCGTGGCAACCCGGGGTGGGGGGGGGAAGGCAGTACTGTCGCGGCAGTTCAACAGCCGCTCAGAGCCACGTGTGCTCGCAGCCAGCAATGAAGAAGTCTCTTTTTTCCCACAGGCAGTCCCAAAGGCAGAATACCTCGCTCTGAGATGGGTCGGTCTCTCTCTCTCCGTCGTTCTCCGCTAGGTGTCCCATGGGGAAAAAAACTTCCTGTCAGGAAAAGAAAAGGATGTGGCCGAAACCGGGCTCCCCGCTCCCTGTGCGGTCTGCAGATCAAACCCAAAAGCTGCCAAACAAAAAAACTCGCCAGCTCTCCCCACGGCAACCCTATTTCCCGAGAGAGCTCCCCCACACACACGCTGCCCAGCGCTTGCGGCTTCACTCCGTCACCCCCATGCGGGAAGAGGCGGGGGGGGGGGGGGGGGGAGAGGGGAGGAGGGGAGGGCGAGCATTGGGGAAAAAATTCCAAAATCTCTTTTCAAACCTATGACACCCACACATGTTTTGTTGTCCCCTCTCCCACTTTTGGGGCTCCCACCTCCTTTTTCTGGGGGTCCTCATCCACTTTTGTGGTCCCCACCTATTTTTGGGGCGTCTCCTCCAAGTTTTCAGGCCTTAGGGGTATTTCCCCCATTTTTGGGGTCCCCGCTTCAATTTTTGGATTCCCCCACCCACTCCCATTTTAGGGGTGACCCCCAATTTAGGGTTTGGAGGGCATGGGGAGAGAGTAAAGGGGGTCCCCAAAAAAGGTTTTTCCTCTTTTATTTCAATTTTAATTTTATTTCCTTTTTAGTTTTCTTGGGTTTAATTTTTTTAAAATTTTCTTTCTTAAAATTATTTTTTATTTTCTTTTAATTTTTAATTTATTTTTCTTTTTTATTATTTTTAATTTTCTTTTTCTCTTTGTTTTTTTCGGTTTTATTTTTAAGTAAAACTCCCCCACAACTGCTGCTCCAGACAAATCCCTAAGTATGGGACAGAAGCATGGCAGGAAGCTCACTGCTGGAACCAGCCAAGAATTTTCCCTGTGATTTTAGCTATAAAAAAGGGGACTTTTACTTCCACATGGAACAGGCTAGGCAAATGTTATCATTAGAGGGAACTAAATCTCTTCAAGAAAGAGGTTTTCTCCTGTGCAAATCAGTCCTTGGGCAGGAACTGAACTTGGGAGATCAGTTGGTCTTGGCCCAGAGAGCCTCCTTCCCATCAGCACCTGACCTGTGCCCACCACTCACTATTCACCCAACAAAAATCAACAGCGAATGTTTGTTTGGTGGTAAGAACTTGAAATAACTTTGAAACAAAAGACATCAGCTTTTCCTTTTTTCAACTTTCTTTAAGATATTGGCATTGCCTCTCTGGCCGTGTACTGAGTTCTCCCTGTGAGGGATTATCAGGCCTTATCAGCTGCAAGGCCAGGAAACTGGAGAGAAGTATTCATTAGATGGCAGCAGAGTTTCCTCAAGCCTTTGCCCTTTTTTCTGCCTTTTGCTGATAGATCTTGGCCAAGGGACAATGCCAGAATCCTTCACTTTGGCAATAGTGGGCTTAGCACCATCCCTCAAGCCTGTCCAGGGCAGGCTCCTGCCCATCGGCCTCTGGCCACAGGTGGATGTGGGATGTAGGGGATGCTGAGAGTTTTTCCTCTACCTCTGGCAATCAGGCCATTAAAAAGACTAATTGACCTCTTCCCCAGTAGGGAAACATTTCAGCAAGAGGTGCCAAAAAGAATTGGAGTTTCTGGACAACAAAATCCGCAAGTAGCCAACTTAAAATGCCCCCCAGACTGTCACCGGTCCGAATTCCCTGGACTGGTCACCCTGGCCAGGAGTGTCCAGTCCTGCTGGGAATGCCTTGGCCCGTGATGCAATGTCCATTTTAGGCTGCAAAAGACCCGCCTCGGTGCCCCCGCAGTGGCTGGAAGGAGCGCAGCAGGGCCACCAGGCTGTACTGAGCTGGGGTACCCCACCATCTGCAGGGAATGCAGAGTCCAGTTGCGTTCTGGAGAGTAGAAATGGAGAACTGGGGGAGGCCCGAGCAAGCAGAATTGCTGATTTTTAATGCACAGCCTTGGAAACTGGGGGGTTTGAGGTGCAGTGGTGCCCACAGCTCCTTTGTACCTCAGCCCAGGCAGGGAGTGCTCTGTGTCGGCTGGGCAGTGGCAGGGCCCCTCTGGCAGGGAGGCAAGCTGGAATGTGGAGCTGCCCCGGTAGGTCCTTTCCTGGGCTGCCGCCTCCAGCTCCCCTCGCCCCCCCGGGGCACCAAGACAGGGGCACATGCCAGGGGCTATGCCGCCACTCCCGGCCATCTCTGCCATCTCCATCGATTCCTGCATGAGTCCTTGTCCCAGCCCTGCCACACACATGAGAAATCCACGGGCACACAGGCCTTGCTTGCAGAATTCCTGACCCAAACCCTTGCCTTTCTTGCCCAGAGCTGAGGGAAATCTGACAGAATGTTAATAAACCAACTTTGCTGAGAGCAGTCATCAGCCCAGTCCTTCAGGCTTTGCAGGAGTTTGTAGGGAACAGACCCAAATTCGAATCCTACATCTAAATTTCTAACAGGATTTGTTAGAAAGATACTGGACAGTAACTCCTAGAACAGAAAGCAAAGACTGTGCAAGGAATA